GTCTCTTTTGCCACAGTGGCTGCAATCCAAGAAGCCGACGATGCTAAACTTGCTGCGGAGCTGAATGAGGTTTGTTTTGCTCTTTATCAACATTTTCGAGGTGCTGCAGTGAGGACACAAAAATGCTATGATTTTAGGAAGCAGTGCTTTCAACAAATCAAAAACTTGGACTGGTTTGCGCCCTCATTGAGGATGGTGCGTGGCCGCTGGCAAAAATACTCATAGACAGATTGCCCGAGTACTATGCAGTGCAAGCAAGGTTAGCGCTTCTTATTTCATTCATCAAATATGGTTCCGTTTTGTTTTTTATCGTCCTTTTCTATTGATATGTTCTTTTTTTAGCATACGCGTCAGCAACGCCATCTCGGACCTTATTGGGCAGGTTATAGAAAAATTCTATATGGAAAAATGTTCTAACAAGCTGGAGGATTTGAGCCTCAATACAAAACGTGATTCCTTGAAGACGTCGTCATTAGATCCAGTGAGTGTTTTCAGAAAGCTGCCATACAATATGCTGCGAGTCATTCTCGATTTAAAAAATTTCGCGTTTGCAGGTCCGTTCATGGTCTGATCTTGCGTCTCTTACCTCGATACTGTGGTACGTGGGACCTCGTTTGGCTTATCGTCCCCTTATTATGACAAAACTTGTTCGACTAATTGTCGCCTTCTATCGTGAACAACCAAAAGGACCAGATGGAGCACCAGCAGATTCACCAGGTACATAAAATGACATCTGTGAAATTCTTCATTTTTGTTTTGTCAAAATTATTAAGAATTTTTTTAGTAGCTCGTACTATGATGGATATTGTGGACGAAGTAATAGTGCCTGGATTATCGCTCTCTGATTACAACACTGGACTGTCCGAAGAAATATGGACGCTTCTACAGTTCTTTCCTTATACGCTACGCTATCGACTATATGGACAGTGAGTAACGAATGACACAGAAGTCTTTGCATCCAAATTGTCTGGGACGAGCTCATCATCGCTGCAAGACGTGTTCTAGTTGGAAGTATGGCAATACGATTCGTCATCCTGAAGTAAACATCATGCGAGGAAAAGTTCTTGGTAGAACAAAATATGTGCTGAAGTAAGTTGGTGGACTTTGTTTGCGGAATCTTAAGGGATTTTATTGTAGACGACTTTCGAAGGAGACAGTGCGAGTGATGGGCCGGCAGCTGGGGAAATTGTGTCACATTCATCCGATAACGGTCTTTGACTACTTGCTCAGTCAGGTAAGTACAAATGATTCTCTTCTACCCCTCTACCAATACTTGGCGCTTTGAAGGCGATTTTATAAGAGAATTTGTGTCATACTAGAATTTCCTATATTTCCTCACAGGGAGAGTTCACTTAGTCGATTTTGAGAGTTTTCTATCCATGTTGTTGTGTACAAGTCGTCATTTTTATCTTACAAGGGAAAGATACTT